CAGTTAATTAATAAGAAATTTGCTTGCATATTTATAAAATACTTGATTTGGAAACTACTTTACAATATGACTTTGTAATAGGAGCTATTCTTAAATAAATTAAATTTTAGATAGAAAAAATCTGTATTTTATATATATATACTTTATAAAATCTATATATTTATACTATAGATGCAAATATATAGGTATATGTTCATATAACTGTGTTAGAAGATTCCATATTAAGCAAGGATTCAATAAAAAAGATCTAAAATGATAGGAACATGAGCAATCTCATATTTTCTATCAATTGTATTGTGTTGCCTAAAAATAATTTCTTCCAGTTTAAGTTTAGGGCTCTCTTTGACTGCTTTGTAGTGGATACTGCTAAAATCCTTGGTTTGCCCCATTTTCTTTGTGGGTGAGAACACACACATGTGTGTCAGGCCTGGGCCAGGTACTCAAAATTCTGTTAAACCAAGCACATAACTGCTTACCCCACAGGATAAAGAATGAACAAAAGCTTAAGCCTTTTATATGATTATTTTTCCCCCAAATAACGAAATGTGGAGCTGCATCCATACATTACAAATAGGCCATGGAATTTTTTTTTTTCAGATTTTTGCCTGGTTTCCCCATCATCTATTCTTCATACTATTATTTAAAAATACACACTTTTTTAAAAAAAATCTTTCTAGGTCAATCTGTTGGGAACTGATTTTCCACAAAAAGAAGCCTCTTGACATGTTTTCCATAAGCATTATATATATATAATTTATATATAATATATTATTTATATAATTATAATATAAATTATATTTATTATTATATATAAGTTATATAAGTAATATAAGTAATAATTTATATATATGTATATATATATGTTATACATATATATGTTATATATATATATAAACACAAACATTTCCCCATAGTTACACTGTGATGTACTCTCCACCTTAATGGCCACTTCTCAGCTGTGAACTATCTCTGTCTTCCATATCAGCAGGATGACTTTAGACCCTGTACTTTCCCTCATTCATTTAACAAATACTTATTTCATGCCTATGATATGTCGTGACTGTGTTTGGCATGAAAAAATTTAAGTAGTAAACAATACAGATGGGAAAACTACTGTGCTGTTATTTTTTTTTTTAATTTTTTTAACATTTTAAAAATATTTACTTATTTGAGAGAGAGAGAGAGAGCAGGGGAGGAGCAAAGAGAGAGGGTGAGAGAAAATCCCAAGCAGGCTCTTAGCTGCCAAGTTTGGGGCTTGATCTCCTGAACTATGAGATCATGACTTGAGCCTCATGACCTCAGCTGAGATCAAGAGTTGGATGCTCAACTGATTGAACCATTCAGGCATCCCTGTGCTGTCACTTTTCTAGCAGTATATACCAACTACTTAGCTGTCCTTAACTGATATAAACAACTTAAGAGTTGTCAAAGAACTTTCATCACTTTAAACCTTGATTGTTCAAAAGTACTTTCATTTTGAGATATTACTTTTTTCTTTTTTAAAATCAGATACATCAGTGCATTTTGCTCATTGTAAGGACGTTAACTTTGTGAGATGGGTATCCATTGAAGTGTTTTGATCAAAGGAATGACTTGTACATGAACTGGGTGCTGTGTTTGAAAATGGAATGCATGGAGGTATGGCCTGAAGCAGAAAACCAGTAAAAGTTCTCTTGTAATGGTACTGTTAAGAAATGTGGGGTCTCATGGGCACCTGGGCTGCTGAGTCAGTTAAGTGTCTGACTTCAGCTCAGGTCATGATCTCAAACTTCATGAGTTAAAGCCTCTTACAGTTTGTGAGTTCAAGCCCTGCATCAGGATTGCTGCTGTCAGTGCAGAGTCTCCTTAAGATCCTCTGTCTCTCTGTCTCCCTCTCTCTCTGTCCCTCTCCTGCTCCTTCTCTTTCTCTCTCTCCAAAATAAATAAACATTAAAAAAAATGTGGGGCCTCATGCCAGGTTAGAAGCTGTGGAATGAGTGAGCAGTGATCAGATTCTAAGATATATTTTAAAGGTAGAGCTTGTAGGATTTCTTCTGGGATTAGACGTGATGGTGAAGGAAAAGAGAATAGTTGAGGATGATTCCATGATTTTTTGGTACAAATAAATGCAGGATATGAAAGGAGCTGATTTAAACAGGAGATCCAGAAGTTTATTTTTGACTACTAAGATTGAGATGACTATAAAATATCCAAGAGGAACTTCAAGTAGGCAGATGAATATATGAGTCTGAGACTCAAGACAGAGAGAGGGGTCTAGGTTAGAGTTATAAATTTTAGAGTCATTAGCATTTAGATGGTTTTTCAAACCATGAGACTGGATAAGATCATTAATGGAGTGAGTTAAGAGAGAAAGAAGTCTAAAGACTGAGCTCTGGGTACGAGGATGTCAAGAGATTGGGGGGAGGAGTAGAGCTTAGCAAAAGAGATAATAAACTAGAAGAAAACTGGTGGAGTGTGTTGTCCTCAAAGCCAAATGAAGAGAGCACTTCAGAGAAGAGAGAGAAACTCAATGTGTCAAATGCAGTGGATGGATCAACGAAATGAGGACTAGGAGCTGACCATTGAAGTTAGCTACTTGAAAGTCATTAGTGACCTTGCTAAATGTAGTTTCATTGGAGTCATGGAGTGAAAACATTACTCGAATGAGCTCGAGAGAGACCAGAAGGAGAACTGGATGCAGCAAGCATAGCACTTTCAACACTTTGTCCCATGCTGTGATGGATGTAAAGCAACAGGATAGACTGAATGGAGAAGTGGACAAAAGAATGTTTTGTTTTGCTTCTGTTTTCAATGGGGGGAAATTACAGCATGTTTACATCTTTGTGGGAATTATTCAGGAGAGGGGACAAATTAGTGATGTAGGAGAATGTCTGGATCAATGGCCTTGAGTAGAGATGAAGGGATAGGATCTCATCCATGAAGGAAGGCAGATAAGTCATAACTGTTAATGTGAGAGAAAGCAGAGAAAAAGGGGCAGGTAAAGGTGAGCTGGTGGATAAATGGATGACGGTACCCTTTGGAAACCCTTTTCTGATTGTTCCGGTGGGAATCAGAATGAGGTGGAGATCATGAGTTAGAAAAGAGAGGAGAAGGTATGAGAATCATCTGGGATATGGAGGAGGAGAAAGCATCTGGGGATTCTGACAAAGTCAGAAATAAACTACTGGGATATGACACAGCTTTTGCCTGAGTCAGTGGAGGAACAGGCGAGGCGTTGTGCACTATAAAGCTAAAAAGATAAATTAAGACCAGTTGTGATTTATTTATCTTAATTAATTAATTTTTGGATAATATTGGTCTACAATATTTGGACTTTGGGAAATTCTGAGGAGGCTTAGAAAAGTCAACAGTAAAAGAAACACCTGACATTTGGCCTCTCTACCTCTCTCATTGAAAAAAAATGCAGAAAACTGAGATGTAATATTTCAGATATTTGATAGCGTCTTAAAAACTATACTAGCTTGGATAGAAACAAATTTCTGGATCTTTATGAAATATGTTACATTATATATTTTAAGTTGGAAGATTGTTAAGTTTGAGCTTAAAGCATTTCATACATAAAATTGAAGTTCTAACAGAAACTTAATATGGGGAAGAATGTTTTCACTCTTTTCATATGAAACGCATTCATAATATTACGGACACGTTTTCAGTCTATGGATGGCTTACCTATGCATGAAAAAAGGGAATAAAAAGGTAAACATGATACTTTTTCTAAGATATGTCAAATATCCTTTTTTACTTTGTTTTTTGAGAGTGCTACAAATTTTATTTTTGTGATTATTATTATTTATATTTTAGTTAGTTAACATATATGCCATATTGATTTCCGAAGTAGAATTCAGTAATTCATCACCCAGTGCTCATCGTAACAAATACCCTCCTTAATACCCATCACCCATCTAGCCCATCCCCCACCCACTTCCTTCCACCAATGCTGTTTGTTCTCTATCATTAAGAGTCTCTTGTGGTTTGTCAAATGTCTTGTTTTCAAACAAGGCTTTAAACAAAATAATTTCCTAAATGTCTTGTTCTCTGAAGCAGGAAAGATGGAAGTGGTTACTATGCTTTTGGCAAACAACAAATTCTCAGCCCTCAGAAACATAGCTAACACTCTTCTCTTTTGGGAAGAGGAGACACACCAGTGGCAGGTTGAGAGAACTTTTATTTTATCAGCTCATGAAGTTAAAAATTCACAGTGCTACTGATACACATGGTAGGCACTCTAAACAAACTCGTTGAACAGGGCACCTGGGTGGCTCAGGTGGTTCGATTTTAGCTCAGGTCATGACGTCACAGTTCTCACAGTTCGCGAGTTGGAGCCCCAGGTCAGGCTCTGCACTGGCAGCTCAGAGCCTGCTTGGGATCCTCTGTCTCCCTCTCTCTCTGCCCTTCCCCTCCTCACTCACTTTCTCTCTCTCTCTCAAAATAAATAAATAATTTTTAAAAAACTCGTTGGATCAATAAATGAATGTACAATATAATATTCTCTGCTTCTTTCTGTGAAAAGTTGTAAACATTTGCTTTGAAATAAAAGTTGACTATTCTTTTTCATGCTTAAGTCAGAATTCCCTGTCTTCAAAATTTGATCTGAGCCAGTTTCAAGCAGCAGTTGGGTAACTTCCTTTTTGCTCCTTCTGCTAGTTCTGAAACTACAGAAGAGAAACTAGAAACCAAATACTGAGGGATCTGTTGCATAAGTACCACTTTGGTTAAACCCAAACCCATGCAAACAATTCAGCAAAAAATGGAAGTGAAGACAGCAAAGTTTTTCAGGGATCTATGGCGGTTTGTTCCCTCTGCTATCATTTATGTTCCCGGAGTCACGGTTCAGTTATACCACAGCGTAGACAACTCCCTGGAAACAATGCTCACTGTTAGGCTGCTCCAGTAGCACAAGAATTCCTTTGATGAGCTCTAAGAGATTGGTAACAATACCTCCTAAAAGGCCAGGTTGCTAGGTAACAGCTTGTTTCCTTGGTCACAGAGAATACATGGAAGACCCCCAAAGGAGGCATCAGATTCTTGGTGGACAGCTCTCATATCCCCTCCTGGGAACACAATGAAAAAGGTCTTTGGAAAGATAGCTTTATGAGGCCAGAGGAACTTTATGCACCAGCAAGACATGTCGGGAAGGTAAGAAAAACGAAATGTTAAAAGTAACTTTAGTCATTACTTGAGAGAAAACAAACATAGATAGTGTTACTGGATTAGATTTCATTTAAAAATATAAAGTCATGCAACCCGTGTTCCTGATGATGGTTGCTGTGAGAGAGAAGCAAACTCTACCGCCACCCTCTCTCCTAACACCCACCGAGGCAGCTGGTTACAAATGCAATTCATTTGATCATTACAGTGGAGAGAGGTAGCCTGTTTTAACAACAGTATGTCTATAGGTACACTGGGCTCTTTGGGAAAGCATGTGTGAATTTCAGTAGAAAGATAGATGAGAAAATAGAAAATAGCTATTAGTTAACATCTATTAGTTATTAGTTAATATTAGTTAATATCCATTAACTATTAAGTTTAAATGGAGGAAACAGAACTTTTACCAGCTCAATAGAGCCAAAGATAAGATTAAGAGGCCAAAACCCAATCCTTGTTTCCTGACTCTTAATTTTATTTAAATTTACTATTAAAAAAAAGTTTTTTAGAGAGAGAGAAAGAGAGGGAGAGAGAGAAAGAGGGAGAGAGAAACCATGCAAACAGGGGCAAGGGGCAGAGGGAGAGAGAATCCCAAGCAGCCAACGTGAGGCTTAATCCCACAATCCTGGGATCATGACCTGAGCTGAAATCAAGAGCCAGACGCTCAACTGACTGAGCCACCCAGGTGCCCCGCCTCACTTTTAAATTTCATAGCTATTTCATAAATATTTTTCAAACTATGCCAATTATTAGAAAATATACAATTATGGGGTTTGCAAGTTTCTCGAACTTATTTGTCTTTATATTGATATGTAACTTTGTTCTCATCTTTCAAAAAATGACATTTGCACCTTCAGTTTTCAGTTATAAACGTTGTGGTTTCACATGAGTGTGTGAAATTTATTGATAGGTTCCATTTACTGCCTGTAGCTGAGAGAGGAATCTTGCTTAGGTTCAGGGTTTAGAGACTGAAGCAGCTCCCACACCAAAGTGCTGCTTTTGTTAGCAAGCTGTGTATATCTCAAACAGTGACTTGATGTTGATTTTCATGTTAAAAACTGTGTCATAATTTGGAGAAAGGGCATGTGAAATAATGGTTTTTAAGTAAGAAATTCTCTGAGGAATTATGCACTTTAAGTTTCCTTACTTGCTAATAATCTTTAATAGACAACACTAGAGGAGATTTATTTGTGAGCCTGGTATCAATATTTGTGATAAACATTATTATTTTTATTTTATTTTTTTTTTTTTACAAATAGTTTATTGTCAAATTAGTTTCTACATAACACTCAGTGCTCATCCCCAAAGTGCCCTCCTTCATGCCCATAACATTATTATTTTTAAATGAGTAAATATGTATAGGATTATTTTCGAGACAGTGTAAAAGGTGAAGAAGTTAAACAAGTTAAACTTTAATCTTTAAATTTTGAAGGAAGCAAGAAGCAAGGAAGCGAGGCAGAGAGGGAGGGATGATGGGAGGGACAGAAAGAAGAAAAAAACAAGAAAAAATTTTTCCTTAGTGCTAGTATTCGTTCAATCACATTTCTGCACATCACAAAACAAGGGTCTTATTCATACTACCTTCCTCTTATATAGTCAGTTTCATTTGGGATTTTATAGTTTTATCCCTGTTCACAGGATCTACTTTAATCACTTATTAACCTATAGTGTTTATAGTCTCTCTTGTAGTGTTGTATGTGGTTGAATTTTCTGCTGCAACAGCTTATAGAACAGTAAAACATTCTTCAAGCACTGAAAACCTTGTAAGTAGCAGCTATATAGGTGGTTACAATAAAGTTCTAAAAATTTCTAAATATCCTCTTGTAGAGGGAACATCATGGTATTGCAATCTCTCTTCATTGCCTCTGGCATTGAAATATATCTATGCTTCTATAAATGTCAGTGAACCCACTACTGGTTATTGAAGTTTGTAAGCTTTTCCCCTGGAGAAGTTTGATAGGTGTTTGTTCTTTTACTTCTGTTGTTCCTTAATTTGGGGCCTTATGTGTGCTTATAAGAATGTTCACAGGGCTGAAGAACAGGATGAAAATGCATCCTGTATAAAAAAAGCAAAATTTAGGTGCACCTGGGTGGTTCAGTAGGTTAAATGTCCAACTCTTGATTTTAGCTCAGGTCATGATCTCATGGTTGTGAGATGGAGTCTTGCTTCAGGCTCTGTGCTGAGCTGAGTGTGGGGCCTGCTTAATATTCACTTTCTCCCTTCTTCTCACTCTACCCCTCCCCCACTTGAGCTGGTACATGCACTCTCAAAAAAATGAATAAAAAATGAAAAATTTAACGAACACAAGTTCACATAAAACTTAAATCTGACTCACTCAGACAGAAGAAGAAAAATGACAATTCTAGTTGTGCTTTTCTCAAAATATATTGTTACATGATTTTAGACTCAACAATTTAAGACATATCTGTTAAAATCCCAGGTTGTGGGTACTGACATACTTTTGGAATACCTGTAAAATGCATAGGGTTTTTTGGAACAATACTCAAAAGGGAAAAGAATATGGCACCCAAAATATGCTACTTTGGCATAATGATTACATTGAATGAAGTTAGTTAAGATATAGCTGGTGTTAGAAAGATACTCTGATCCTCCTCTGTCTCTCCAAAGCAGGAAGTAAATCCCTGTCCCATGTGAAGGTATCCGCCTTGCACCGAGAGGGTAGAAGGCTTTGTTATCACCAGAGACAGGGAATTTGGGACTGAGAAGGCTGTATAAACAAATACTTACTACCCCAACCCCAAATTTCTTTGACTTGTCAATTCTTCAAAAATTTTATTATTTTTCTGCAACACCAGGCTGGCTCAGTCAGTACAGCACACAACTCTTAATGTTATGAGTTCAAGTCCCATGTTGGGCATGGAGCCTACAAAAAAAATTATTTCTAGTCTGAAAGGTATGAAGCTGCCTAATTTGGTCACATTTTTGAAGCTCATATCTTCATGGGCTCCCGTATGTATGAAATTGAATCTGTTTCTCCTGTTAATTTATCTTATGTCAACTTAATTATTACACCAAAGAACCTAGAAGAAAGGAAGGGAAAAGTCCTCCCCCACACACATTTTATTGGTATATTACTATTTACTCAATTAATGGGTTTAGTTTCAGGAACTTCATTTAGAGCCATCAGAAATTTAAAAACTTGGTATACCTAATTTGCCATTTCAGAAACAAATACATTATAATATCAGATTTCTTCCTGATTTTAGAAGAACATCATTCAGAGTATTTTTTTATGTCATTACCATCTCTACTAAGTAGAGATGCACAATCATTGTCATATTACCAGTGAATAAAATACAGGCACAGAAAGCACATGGAGTCTGGATTAAAAAAAAATAATAAAAATAAAGAAAGGTCAAAGAAATAAGAAAGACTAGAATAATATCTCCTCTCATCCAAAATTAATGCTCCAGAGTCCATGGCAATTCTCTTCTAGGTCTTATTTCAAAAGTACCTGGTTTAAGCAAGATCCCACAAGATTTGAGAACCTAACTTAATACTTTTGGGAGAGAGAGAGGGAGGTTGGGGATTTGGGAAAAGTGACCTTGGCTAAATAACTGAAAAACAAGACTAAGCTTCTTTCCTTCCTTCCTAAATACAAAGTTCTCATGATGCAGCAGTGATGATAAATGGGATGTTTAGAAATTGAGTCTTATAAATTGTATAAATACAATTTTGAGAGCCACAGGTGTCTGAAGGAGTCAGTCCCCTGGCCTTCTGTATGATGGGTGCCCAATAATACCTCAGGAGTATTATTTCAACTCAGGAGTTCAGCTTCTCCTCAGAAATTAGGCCATCTGCCATGTCCCCTTTCACTCTCCTTACAAAGTTACATAATCACCAACTTGACATTTTAATTAAACAGATAGCACCCACTGCAGCCGACAATTTATGAGGCTTATAAATTCGTGACTGTGAAAGGACGTTGCAATCTTCCGATGAAAGGCGCTCATGAATTGATAAGTTACATTATTGTTGCCTTTTATCCAGCAGTCTTAGCTCACCTGACTCCTTCTTGTTGGCCATTCTACACTTTTAAAAACTAAGAATAGATGGCCGATTCAGATAACGTCACCTATTTTAAAGACACTATAAATCACTGCTGACAAATGCTGTACAGTTTCAGCCATGGCACCTTCTCCATGGCAGCTTTATATTGGAGCATTAATAAAATTAATTTCTCTTTCATAAGGGTTTAGATTTGTAATTTATGATAACTGTTTGTTCACTGCAGGCAGAAAGATTAAAAATGAGTAAACCAATATACCAACTAAACTGAATGTGTCTGGTTTTATTTTGTGGAGGGGAGATAGGAGAGGGTTTTAAAAACAGCTTGATGTTATCTGGAATGGGGTTCTCACAGGTTATACTACTCGAGGCTTAACTTTTGTTTCCAGTAAAGAATAGCTGCTCAAATTTACATGCTCTATTAACTAGTGCTATTATTTACATGTGGTTAAGCAGAGCGATTGGAATAAGAAAATCAGTATTAATGATTTTCCTTCATAACAATTGCACTCTAATAATGATACAGCTTTACAGTTATTTAAAGAATCACAGTGGCTTCTGTAAAGCTAATTTGAATCGTGGTGGTTAAAAACACTTGGTCATTTCTTAACGTGACTTGGGCAAGTTACGCCACCTCTCTGTGCCTCAGTTTCCTCATCTGTAAGGAATAATGTTTATTGTGTTATAATAATACAAACAAAATAATCATGTTGATCAAAATAATCACCACTTTATCTGGTGACTGTGACGCGTAAATGAGTTAATTCATGTAAAGCCCTTGGTACAGTGCCCAGCTCATAGCAAGTGCTTAATAACCATTAATTACAAAACCATTATATTTGTAATAGTAGTAGTCGTCATCATAGCAGTGATGTTACAAAACAGCAAAAAACTGTATCAGTCAGAGTCTACGCCGTCTTCTGAACATTAAGGATAAGGAACTGGCCATTAGAGATGCTAAGGGCCTTGGCTAAGGTACCTGCAGTATCTGTTCCTCAGATTCCTAGGATTTACAAGTCCCACAGCACTGACTTCAGTGATGTACACATTTCAACAACCACAGATGGGGGCGCCTGAGTGGCTCAGTCCATGAAGCCACTGACTTCGGCTCAAGTCAAGAACTCGTAGTTCGTGAGATCCAGCCCCATGTTTGGCTCTGCATTTGTGGAGCCTGCTTGGTTATTCTCTCTCTCTCTCTCTCTCTCTCCCCCCCCCCCATTCCATGCTCTCTCCACCTCAAAATAAGTAAATAAATTAAAAAAAAAAAAACAGTTGCAGATGAAGTGAAAGTGTGAGTTAGTTATATAACCTAAAAGACGCCTTTTTTTTTCTTTTTTAAACCAAAGATTCAGAAGTTATCTTGTTGCTGAGATTTCTTCCAAAAAAGCAGACCAAAGAAAAATTTTATTTGAAATTGCAGACAGAAGTAACAGAACAAAGAAGATTTTGAGAGTGCCCCTATGGTGTCTACCACAAGATTCCAGCACACGGCCCTTCAGACACTGTCCCCTGGTGTGGTGCCTAGGAGTGATATGAGAATGTGACAGACAGAAACTAGACTTTGGAACCTAAGGAAAGATTTCATGCTGAAAAACAATCATACTAGTCATCTGTTGGTTAGAATCTTCTCAGATAACCTGCCCTTAGCTGAAACTCTTGGTCATACTTCAGTTTCTCCTGGGGCGGGGGAGGAGACAGAAAGAGAGAGAAAGAGAGAGAGATACAGAGAAAGACACACACACACACACACACAGAAAGAGAGAGAGAGAGAGAGAGAGAATGTGTTTAAGGACATTAACAGTCTATTTATTTGTGTTACCAAGCCCTAATTACCTACTATTATTAATAAATGTGTAGTAGTAATCAGGGTACTGGCATAAAGAGAACTTGTGGTTTAAATCCCCAAATCATCTCATGTACACTAAGACAATGAGATGATTTTAAGTTATTTTTAAACTGAATCTCACATTGAAATGATTGTACTTAATCTGTCGCACTGAACAAGATAGAGTAAAACCCCAATCAACTGGATCTCTCTTGTCAGATCTTTTAATTATGTAACTTTCTTTTCCCCCGCTGTGGCTTCTTTGGAGAGATTGTATACTTAACTATGACCATTTCTGGTACTTCAGATTAAAAGACAAGAGAGAAGATGACCTCCAGATTTTTCATTACTGCTGTGTAACCATCAATGGAGGGTAGAGTAACATGACAACAATCACTGAGGAAAGATTCAACCATGTTCATTCTCCTGGTTTTCTGACTTCATTTTGGCAGAAAATAGCTAGAATATTTTCATAAAGACAAGTGAACCAAAAAGTCAGCTAAACTTTCTGTTCATCCCAATTTATTATTCCATTTTCTCCCAGATTTTTCTCCCTAGTTGTTGGCCAAAACTCCAGTTATCAATCACAGGATTTACCTGCCTCAGGAATAATAAATTTCTCACAATTTCTTGTTACTCTTCTAATGTCTGTTCATTTGTTTCAATAGCAAGACACACTTTGGGAATTTCAATAAATAATGTCCAAACTATGAATGAATTACTCAGGTGGGAAAGTTATGAGAGACATACATTTTCTGACTTTTTCACACAATTAAGACAAAATTCTTGATTTGTTATTTAGTTGTAGGTGGAGGGATAATTTTCTCTTTGATAACAGGGTACTTTTACTTTTTTAATGACAGATGCTATTTTTGGAATATGATGTCATTGCTATGCTTTCCTAGTGTACTAGCTCAGCTAATACATGGAAAATAAAAGATATATTAAATTGTACTTTATGACGGCAACCTCATATACAAGAGATGTGTGGTTTCTTGTAAGCAAAATTGCTACCAAGGCATAATTGTGCCATAAAATACAGAGGGTTGTCTCTTAAGATTCCTGGAGCCTGAAAAATTATCTATCAAGAGTAAAAAGAGGCCAGAAAGAAAGATACGTCTGGTTTTACTAAACATGAAAAAGCATATTTGGATATTACTTTCAAATTGGCTTAAAATAATGCACAGCACCAATTACAGAAAGAGAAACTTGCAACTATTACTGAAGAGATAGGGAAAAGTGTAGGAAAACCAATGAATAGTCAACCAGAGAATTACTCTAGGAGAGCAGAAAAGGTGTTTTATATCTCAGAGGTTTAAAAGTGGGGATACAGAGAGCACTGGACTGTGAAGCAAAATGGTCGAGCGGACCATTTCACAGCAGACTCGGTCTCCCTTTCCTTCCAAACTCCTGGATTCTGTAAGGGTTCCTATGACTTCAGGCCTTCTCCGTGTGAGATATGGGAGCGAGTGCAATGTATGGAGTTCCCCACTTCTCCGCCATCTTGCCCCCTCTCCGATCGTGTAGTATTTCAAAGTGAGTAAAACTGATTAAAGGACCTGACTTTTTAATTTGTTTGCCACCGATATGTAGAAGTATAAGAGGTTTGGGGGAAATTTCAGGGGAAATGTAAGCCAGGTTAATGGGGAAACCAAGAGAGCTTAAGGGTCCTTGTTGTATAGATCTGTCACTGTAGCTCTACTAGGATTGATGTCTTAATATGAGGGCTGACTTCCTTATTCACATAAGGATGTATGTGCTCTTGTGTGTACCATTAGATTTTCTTTTCTAAGATATGTAGTCTACACAGACCTTCTTCTCTTTGGGGAGAATTTGCCACAAGTGACTATCAGCCATAAGAAATGTGCTTAAGACTATGACAAGACATCAAAGTCCTTCTGAGATCTACAAAAACGTCTAGGGTCTCATTTTCCCCTCAGTGGAAAGATTGGCGCTTATAATTTCTGGTTATGGCTACTGTATACAAAGGAATTTACATTTAAAGACTTTAAAAAAGGCACACAAACACTTTAAGCATTGTCTTTGGCTCAGCTCCTCAGGTCGAAACACAAGCAGTCAGATTTGTGCATCTGATTCATCGTACTGCTCCGATCTGAGTGAGTCACACACTTGGTCAGCTCTGTCGAGGAAAAGAAGGTTTCATCCACATTCGGATTCTGGAATAGCATCCCTGGTAAATACTTTTAATGTGCTCTTTACCTAATGCAAAGTTTATAAAATGTACTTTATCTTACATTGAACTTTTAAAACTTAAATCCAAGTTAGTTAACATATAGTGTAATAATGATTTCAGGAGTAGAATTTAGTGATTCATCACTCACATATAACACCTAGTGCTCAGTCAACAAGTGTCCTCCTTAATACATCTCCCCACCCAACACCCCTCCAGCAACCCTCAGTTTGTTCTCTGTATTTAAGAGTCTCTAATGATTTGTCTCCCTCTCTATTTTTATATTATTTTTGCTTCCCTTCCCTTATGTTCCTCTGTTTTGTATCTTAAATTCACATATGCATGAAATCATGGGATATTTGTCTTCCTCCAGCTGACTTATTTCACTTAGCATAGTACATTCTAGTTCCATCTACAATTTTGTTTGCCAAATAATATTCCACTGTGTGTGCATAGATGTATACACACACACAAACACACACACACACACACACCACTTCTTCTTTATCAGTTTATCAGCTGATGAACATGTGGGCTTTTTCCATACTTTGGCTATGGTCAATAGCACTGCTATAAACATTGGAGGGCATGTGCTCCTTCAAATCAGCACTCCAGTATCCTTTGGATAAATATCTAGTAGTGCAACATCTGGGTCATAAAGTAGTTCTGGTTTTAATTTTTTGAGGAACCTCCATACTGTTTTCTAGAGTGGCTGTGCCAGCAGTTCAAAAGTGTTCCTTTTTCACTGCAACCTGTCGACATCGGGCATTGCCTGAGTTGTTAATTTTGGCCATTCTGACTAGTGGGAGATAGTATCTCACCATGGCTTCGATTTGTATTTCCCTGCTAATGGCATATGATGTTCATATGTCTGTTAGCCTTCTGGATGTTTTCTTTGGAAAAGTATCTGTTCGTGCTTCTGCTTATTTCTTCACTGGACTATTTGTTTTTTGGGTATTGAGTTTAATAAGTTCTTTATATATTTTGGATATAACCCTTTATCCAATATGTCATTTGCAAATATCTTCTCCCATTCTATCAGCTGCCTTTTAGTTTTGCTGATTGTTTCCCTCACCATGCAGAAGGTTTTTATCTTGACGAGGTCCCAATAGTTCATTTTTGCTTTTGTTTCCCTTGCCTCTGGAGACATGTTGAGTAAGAAGTTGCTGTGGGCGAGGTGAAAGAGGTTGTTGCCTATTTTCTCCTCTAGGATTTTGATGGCTTCCTGTCTTGCATTTAGGTCTTTCATCCATTTTGAGTTTATTTTTGTGTTTAGTGTAAGAAAGTGGCCCAGGTTCATTCTTCAGCATGTTGCTTTCCAGCTCTTCCAGCACCATTTGCTGAGGAGACTGTCTTTTTCCCATTGGATATTCTTTCCTGTTTTGTCAAAGATTAGTTGGCCTCTTACATTGAACATTTTTAAATAAGTGTATAAACTTAAATCTATCCTTATCATTGGGAAGGAATGAAATGTTGATATTTTCAGTCCTAACTCAGAAGGGAAATGGAAAGAAGCTGGAGTGGAGGAAGGAAGGCAAACTGGAGATGAGTAGAAAAGGCAGTGACCACAAAAACAGAAATGGCATCCCTTCCTTTCCTCTGCTGAGTTCAAATTCTGTCTCTAGTTAAAGATTTTTCTCCATTCTTTCTGGAATGTCCTTTGTCCTCAAGATAAAAAGTTTTCCTGCCAAACTCACCACTTCTAAGACTTTTCCCTCAGCCATCTCAGTGGAACCATAAGTGATTTTCCCTCCTTTTCTTCATTTATAATTGTTCCACCTAGCCCACTGGATCAAGATGAGTTACTTAACAAACAGCTGCCTCTCCAATTATAGGAAATGAGATTTTCAAGCACAAATGTCATATTTGATTTAACTTTACATCCCCGGTGCCTGACACACAGGAGGGTACAGTATATATTTTTGAATAAACGAGTAAAATGAAATGAAGCAAACCAACTTTGGAAATATTTATTGAACCAATGGATTAATCACTTGGTCCATCAGAATTAAGAAAGAAGAACAAACAGGTAAGACATAAACACTCACTATTCCTTTAGGAAGAAGCCATGGTCACACACCTGCAGCACATTGACAACATCACATAAATATAAACAAAAACATGTAAGAGCTTATTTTCCTATAATATCAGAAATCCCAAAATCAATCACAGAGCTCCTTTAAAAAAGCAAACAGCGTTTTGTACAAAATTAGATGTCAGTTGGAAAATGGAAATTTTCTTCTCAAATACAGCTTTAGCTTAGAGTCTTTCCTTTCTAGTAAGATCATCAGGAAATAGCACAAAAAGGCAACAGGGTGTGGCAACTCCAGGGAATTTAACTTTGAATACATTTTTGTTCTATGATAGAGGCAAGAAAAAACAATCCAAAACACATTGGAAGTTAGGAAAGAAGCCACATAAACATGTGAACTTAACAACCAAGAATAATCCAGGGATCACATTCCTCAATAATTTAAAATGTGTTCCTTGGTTTTTTTAAATAATATTTCCAAAGAATGAGTGAATTCCTTAAAAGCATGTTAGCAAATCCTCAGATCATCTCAAAGAATTGCTCAAGCATTCATTAGCTTTTTAGCTTTTTGCTCTCAATAAGGTAAAGAGCTTTTGTTACTCTGTTTTTAAATGAAGATATGGAGATATTTATTTACTAGAACAGCCATGGTCATTCAGTGAGTAAGCAATGAAGATAAAAAATCAAAGCTAAATGATTATTAAAAAGCCACCTCTTATCAATTTATTTTGAGTCAGCATGTTCCAAATTCTTCACAAGATGCATGAGACCCATGTGATGCTTCAAGAATAAAAGTTTCTAGGATTTAAAAGTCCAGGGTAACACTTTGTGAGGGTAGACTCACAGTGTATATTAGCATATAATGGCTTTGAGGAGTCCTATAGCAAGGGAAACCCTTAATTTATTCAATCCGGAGCCTCATAAACTTATTCAGCGGTAGAAATGTTTTTTTTTTTTTATGTTAGTATTAGTCACACAAATTTACAGCTCAAGCAAAACATAAGCCATGTGAAAAGCTTCTCTGTGAAATGAAAGCAGTTGTTCCAAATACTCTAATGATATTTCTTTATATCAAATATTCTGGGTTTTTTTGTGTGTACAACACTGGCTAACGGAAGAATGAATGCATGGTGTGTGTATTTAACAGAACACTCTTTTCATGTCATATGCCCTTTCATTTGTGTTAACCTTGAAACTATCATATGCTATCTAAGATACAGGGAATTTTGATAGACTACAACCTCCATAATGGTAAACAATATAAAATTGTCCCAAATATGATCATAGCCCATATTCTGGTCAGTAATATACTGTCTGGAACAAGGAAGATGACCAGACCTGAAATATTTCCTTTAATACTGGCTACACATTTTAAGAACATTGTCAATAAATTAGAACTCTTCCCAAGGAGAATCATATGTTCTTCCTGAATAGTTAGTAATTTGTAAGCCACGACCTGTGAGTAATAATTGTATGACTTAGGAAGAAGATGACAATCATTATCAAACTCTTAAAATAGTGGTCACACGTGTGGCTTCTGTGGGGCCTCAACAGGCAGAACTTTTACAACTGGAGCAAATTAGAGAGGCTTGGGGGCCCATATAATAAAGAGCCTCTAACAATTAGCACTGTTATAAAATGGAAAATGGAATGAGATTTCTCAATCTAAATAAACCAGATCATTTCATTTTATATTTTTACTAAGCATTTTCAGTTTGGTAGAATAAACCAATACTTGACTATTCCCTTTACATCCTAACAAATGTTATGTGTACTATGTGATTTCAAGAAGAATTGTTATCTGAAGCCCCTAATATACATTCAATAAATATTCAAGAATGATTTATCAGAGGTGGTGTAAAGCAGATTCATGAGTGGGTAGACATATGTACTACTGTTGTCATTTACCACCAAATGTGAATCAGTTGCAGGTGTTAGAGACGCTAATTTGTAGAATACATAATTCAGAATGAACTAAAATGACTTCAATAAGGACACCATTAGATATTTGGAGTTCAATTTGTCTCAATGTTTGGCAATGATCTGTTACTTTTATATATAAAAGTAAATGACTAGCATATTGCCAGATACTATTTCTCTTCTTATTTTTAAGCTTCCATCAGACTCTTTTAAGTTCCTCACTTGGCACAATGTAGAACAACATGACATTCGAGGAAGTCAGCTGCGTTGCCCAAGAGTAAGAGAAGGTAAAGAACAAATGGATGTGTTCTTTGTGTACGTGCTCTGAGTTGATTTTATTTGTGGATTAAAAACATTACTTGGGGAAACAAATATGTGACTGGGAGGTAGAAAAATTTTCTTTTTCAAGACCACTGAATTATTAATATAGTTAAAGCACATTCACATGGTTATATAAATAATAAATGTTCAGTATTAAACACTGGAAAAATAGAAAGATGAAAAAGAACTTGTAATCCAATGATACACAAATAACCCCTGTGATTTTTATTTCTAGTCTTTTTTTGAAGAGTATATACACATACTTCCTTACAGAATCGTACAAAAAAATTGTATCTTGAGTTTTTTCACTCATCTCATCATTGCAAACATTTCTTCCGTGTTACTAAATATTACCCAAAACATGTTTTTTAAAGGTTGCATACCTTTCCATCATATGGATATTATTAAATATATTTAACCAATGATCTTTGTTGGGATTTTAGTTTATTTACAATATTTAATGACCATGAATGACATTGTCACTTTGATGAATCACTATAACCTGATTTAATTCTATCATTGGTCTTTAAAACATCAAATGGGAATCTAAATAAGCCATGTAGTTTAATTTTATATTTTCACTAAGCATGTTAAGTTTGGTAGAATAAACCAATGTTTTGCTATTCCTTTTCATTCTGTCAGATTTTACAAGCGCCCTAGTGTGACAGTATGAATTGTTATCTGTAGCTCCTATATATACAATGTTTAATTTTTATAACTTCCTTTTTTTTAAAAAAAATTAATGTTTAGTTATTTTTGAGAGAGAAAGATACACAGAGCACAAGCAGGGGTGGGGCAGAGAGAGAGGGAAATACAGAATCCAAAGCAGGCTCCAGGCTCCAAGCTGTCAGCACAGAGCCCAATGTGGGACTTGAACTCACAAATAGTGAGATCATGGCCTGAGCTGAAGTCTGATGCTTAACCAACTGAGCCTCCCAGGTGCCCCACAGTTTTATAGCTTTCAGTGGATTCTATATTATATAAGAATAGGCACCATGCATTTCTCATGTTTCTTTTGCCTATCCTGTAAGCTGATGAAATAATATTAGACATAATTTTGGCTTCAGTGAGTAGTCATTATAACACACCAAATACCTTGGCTATTTACAGACTTACAGTTATATTGTATACTGTACAATTGCAATACTGATTTAGAAGAAGTTGCTTTAGATATATTTGCCTCCTTATTTCCCTCTCAATGGCATTACTTTACTGCACAATGCCTTTCTTCTTTCACTCAAACTCAGTTGACAAAGGTAGACTAAAATAGCATCATTTTCTGAAACTTTGAGTAAAATATGTTCTTACGTTTTAACTCTGTCAACTCTGTTTGCAGCTAAGCACTGACTCCTATTTTTAAAATATTAATAGATGGTATGACTAGAGGTAAACTCAAGTTGTCCTGTGGGGACATGAGACACAATACTTTTTGAAGAGCAAGAAATTACAGGGAATTAGGAAGGACGGAGACTAAAGGAAGTGGAGACCATATGTGTCATGTGAATAAGGAGTCCATCAGTAAAAGGAAGAGAGGTATTACCAGGGTCCAAAGTGGGCAAGCTTCACCTGGTCCTTAGACTTTAGTTTGTGGACAAATTACCTGGAGGCCTGTGGCAAAAGCACTTGCCCAGGTCCAACTCTCAAATAATCTGATGTGGTTAGTATCAAGTGGGGCTTAGGAATCTGTATTTGTGAAATTATCAGGAAATTCTGTTGCAGATGACCAGAGGGCCATACTGTGAAAACACTAGCTCAGAAAGTTTGGAGAGAAGAAATTTGAATACACAGTGAAAAGATTGATACAGCAAGGGTGCTGGCATGCGTGTGTGTGTGTGTGTGTGTGTGTGTGTGTGTGTGTGTGGTGGTGGTGCTGGTTCATGATTATACCACAGTGAGGCAAAAAGAAATTGTATTCTGAGCATGGACGGAGAGATGAGGTTCAGAAAGAACTGCTGAACTGAACACACTGGAGAATGACAGGGGAATCAAATGTAGGAGTAAATTGAAAATGAGTATGTGTAAAGAGAGCATTATGGTCTCCCTCCTTCCCTGTTTTAAGCACCAGGTCATGTGTTAAGGTCATCAGTCAACAAAACTAATCCCTCATAAGGACCACAGTGGCCATTCATGCAGGGGAATCATGGCTCTGCAGAGATAAGGCACATTTTCCTTCCATAGACCATTAACAACACCCAATCTCCTGCAAGTGACTAGTTGTAAAAGGAATGGAGCATGATCTAAAGGATTGAAAACAGGAAAATCTCATTACCTCAAACCGTGAAGAAAATAGATGTCCCTTATTCATTGTCCTTAATTTAGTATAAGTTTGGTATGTGCATATGTGAGATAGAGAAGTGCTTTTCTAAAGCATTCTAGTAACAATTACCCTCCTTCTAGATTAGATCCTGCAAGACCATCAAAACTACTTCAGTTCATCTCAGTTGCCCTGATTGTACATCCAGGAAGAGTTCTTAAGAAAAGAAAGGTTATCTTGCATGTGATAAACAGCAATTTCCCAAAGCCTTGATGGCCAGATCAAGACTGACTTAACTCCTCCCAATTAAATGAAGCAAAAGAACCAACTGTTGGCAGAATTCTTTCAAATGATGGATGCCTTGTATTTGAAAATCCCTCAGCAAGTCAATTCAGTCACTGCTGCTAAGTTACAAATCCAGTGAGGGGACAAAGAAGGAGCTCAGAGATAGCAAGTGAAAGCCAACATTCCAGGGATGTCAGGTATTCCAGACTGTGGTTCACAACTGCTAAGATATATCTTCAATTACCAACGAAGTCTGAGTTTTAAAAAGGAAGAATCCAATTTAATAGAACTCCTCACAGTGGAAGTGACCTTTGGCTTCCAACTTCAAAGAGATCTTTGAAAGCTGTTTAAAAAAATAATTGAAAGAGCAGAAGATCAATAGAACTCAAATAAATGATATAGGGCAGGGTTTAATAACTCTGGGGGTATCTCTTGCACAGAGCAAGCTACCAAGTTCAGGGGTGGGTGTATTAAAGACAATAGAGCCCAAGGTCTGACCAATTAGGTGATTGTCCAGTTTTTCCAGTTCTATGACTCTTAATTCCAATCAGCCTACTCAATGAAGAAGAAAATTTAACACAAGGATATTTTGTTTGTAAATTGGTTGAGATACTTCAGGGTTATGTGATTTCCTGGGTGGCAACATGACAGTTCATTATGAGAGAAATACCTGAAAGGTCAGGTTGCACTCAGGCTTCCCACCTGGGCCTGGTGAAAGAAGTGATGTTTTTGTCAAAATAATGAAATACTGGACTCTCTTACTGCCATCCATAAATTTCACAAATGGACTCATTATCTCCCAGCAAAATCTGGACAAAACTGCCACAAAAGCAAAGTTTGTTCCTGATGCCTTTAGTAACCTCTTTCTTGAGTATGTATCTTTCTTTTCACTTGTGAAATAAGAATCATGCATTCTGGGAAAATGGCATGGGGGAAAAAATGGATGGTCCCAGGTAGGACTCATGGAAACATATTGTGGAGTGGGAGGGATTTGAAATCACTGAGCTTAGGATTGCTGTCAGGGACCCAGTTAATATCATAACAGACTGTAGCTTGCCTGGGTAACACAACAGAGTTATACTTTCTAATAAAGAAATACATTCTGATGGAACTGGATATCACTATTTTTATAAAGTGGTATGAACTTCAATCAAACATAACCTCATCATATTCAATCCATGCTGGGCCCTTGATTCTAGTCTTTCCTGTATTTTTGCTGACATGGAAAACTGAAGCTCAGAAAATTAAAATTAGTCATCTGGAGACACACGATCACCTAGCACCCAATCTCAGACTGGAAACAGGATATCCTTTCTCTAATCATGGAAATTTTGTGCAAACCTGATTTGGAGGACAACAGGGTTGGGAAATAGTGGGAAATGAGTTTGGAAATGGAGATTGAGATAAGACTGTAGAAAACTTTGGGGCCCCTGTGTGGTGCAGTTGGTTGAGTATCTAACTTCAGCTAAGGTCATGATCTCACAGTTCGTGGGTTCAAGCCTTATGTTGGGCTTTGTGCTGACAGCTCAGAGTCTGGAGCCTGCTTCAGATTCTGTGTCTCCCTCTCTCTCTGCCCTCCCCCCACTCATGCTTTGTCTCTCTCTGTCTCTCAAAAATGAATAAATGTTAAAAATTTTTAATGAAAAAAAAAAAAAAGATTGCTTGAAAACTTTCCTTGACAAGCCAGGATTTTCCATCTCTAATTGGTAGGCAGTGAGAGAATTCTGAAATGTTTTGAATATGTGAGTGTGGTAAAAAGCTGTTTTTTGGAAGACTAGATGGACATGTCTATCATTTATTAGGAGATTGATATTATTATATAGGAGAGAAGATTGCACACGAGGAGATCCATAGGAAAGTAGTTATAGTTCAGGGAGGGGATATGAGGGTCTAAATGTTGAAAAGGAAAAGGACTCAAGGGGAAATGTGATAGAACCAAGTGGCTAACTGAATTGAGAGACAAAAGAGAAGGAAAGTCACAAGTGACTTCATATCCCCAAAGAGAAAATTATATGCTCACCAAACTTCACACCCAAAAAACAAACAACCCAGTGAAGAAATGGGCAGAAGACATGAACAGACACTTCTCCAAAGAGGACATCCAGATGGCCAACAGACACACGAAATGATGCTCAGCATCCCTCCTCATCAGGGAAATACAAATCAAAACCACACTGAGATACCACCTCACGCCAGTCAGAGTGGCTAAAATGAGCCAATCAGAGAACTCTAGATGCTGGCGAGGATGTGGAGAAACGGG